GGGGCTGGCACCCTACTCTTTTGAGCCACAGGCATCGCCTTTTTTTTTTGAGACGGAGTCTCACTATGTCACCCTGGGTAGAATGCTGTGGCATCACAGCTCACAGCAATCTCAAACTCTTGAGCTTAATCAATTCTCTTGCCTCAACCTCCGAAGTAGCTGGGGCTACAGGCACACACCACAATGCCCAGATGTTTTTTGTTGTCATTGTCATTGTTTAGTAGGCTCAGGCCAGATTCAAACACGCCAGCCCTGGTGTATGTGCTGGGCACCCTGGCCACTGAGCCACAGGCGCTGAGCTTAATTGGCCTAATTTCAGCATTATTATGTCTTAGGGCACAGGGAAGCTTGAGAAGGACGCAAACGGGGTCAGCCAGGTGGTGGAGCATCAGGACTCGCAGCGTTGGCTTTGTTCACGACGTCACATGGTTGTGGTCCACCCAGAGTTCACTGATCATAGAGTAACAATGAAAAAGTTTTAAATATGGGGAAAATTATCAAAATGTGACACAGATCTGAATTGAGCACAAGGTGTTTGAAAAATGGTCCCAGTAGACTGGCTCCACATAGAGTTGTCACAGACCTCAATTTGTAAAAAAAAAAAATCGGTGTCTGCCGAATACAGTGAAACAAGGTGCCTCTGTATCAACAGATTTCAAGCATTTCCGATCATAGGCAATACTGTCTTTACCATAGTAAGATTCAGTTATAAAAAATATAATTAAAAAAAATCCTCACAAATTGGCTTGGTGCCCATAGCATAGTGGTTATGGTGCCAGCCACATGCACCGAGGCTGGTGGTGAGTTCAAACCTGGCCCGGGCCAGCTAAACAATGACAACTATAACAAAAAAATAGCCAGGTGTTGGCTGAGCTCCTGTAGCTCAGTGAGTAGGACACCAGCCACGTACACCAAACCTGGCAGGTTCAAGCCTAGCCCAGGCCTGCCAAACAATGACAACTGCAGCCAAAAAATAGCTGGGCATTGTGGTGGGCACCCGTAGTCCCAGTTACTCGGGAGGCTGAGGCAAAAGAATTGCTAGAGCCCAAGAGTTTGAGACTTCTATGAGCTGTGACGCCACCGCACTCTATCGAGGGCGACATAATGAGACTCTGTCTCAAAAAAAAAACCTCACAAATTAAGAAATGCTTTTTCTTTTTTTGATACAGAACCTCAAGTTGTCACCCTGGGTAGGGTGATGGGACATCATAACTCACAGCAACCTCCAACTATTGGGCTCAAGCAATCCTCTTGTCTCAGTTTTTCTATTTTTTAGTAGAGATGGGGGTCTAGCTTTTGCACAGGCTGGTTTTGAGCTTGTGAGCTCAAGCAATCCACCTACCTTGGCCTCCCAGAGGGCTAGGATTATAGGCATGAGTCACCGCACCTGGCCAAGAAATGCTTTATTTTTTATTTTTTATTTTTTATTTTTTTTTAATTTTTGAGACAGGGTCCCTCTCTCTCTGTCACCCAGGCTAGAGTATAGTGGCATTAACATTTGTAAGAAAATTCAATTCAATCCTCCTGCCTCACCCTCCTGAATAGCAGTTTCTAAATTTTTGTTTTTTTTAGAAATGGAGCCTATGTTGCCCGGGCCTCTAATTGGTTTTTCTTTAATTTTTTTTTTTTTTTTTGAGACAGAGCCTCAAGCTGTCACCCTGGGTAGAGTGTCATGGCATCACAGCTCACAGCAACATCCAACTCCTGGGCTTAAGCGATTTTCTTGCTTTAGCCTCCCAAGTAGCCGGGACAACAGGCGCCCGCCACAACGCCCGGCTATTATTTAGTGGTAGTTGTCATTATTGTTTGGCAGGCCCAGGCTGGATTCAAACCCACCAGCTCTGGTGTATGTGGCTGGTGCCTTAGCTACTTGAGCTACAGGCGCGGAGCCCTCTAATTTTTATGTCATTTTGTGTTCGCTGTCAAACACGCTCCCCAGGTGAGTGAGGCTCTTGTGTCATGTGAGTTAGTCCAGACGCCCGAGATTGGGGGGCACATGGTGAGCAGAGTTCACTGGCTCACAGCTCTGAAGGTGAGAAGTCCATGTCCGCTATCCATGTGCTGGCATCAGGTGGGGCCTATTCCCCCCTTTTATGATGAACTCACCCCCACAGTAATGGCTTCATTCTATTTGTAAGGGCAGAAGCCTGTGCTCTCTTCACCTCTTCAGTGTCCCACCTCTTGATTCTGCTACAATGGCAGGTAAATTTCAGCATGAGTTTAGAAGAGAAAACCATTCACACTATAGTAGTGATTTTGTCTCTACTACGTCCCTTTGATCCTCTGAGTCCCTTTGATCCTCTGATGTTAGCAGGGCACATGCCTCTGGGTGTGGGGCCTCCCACAGGGTCCCCACACCAGCAGCCCTGCCACTTCCTATAAGAGTCTCAGCAGCATCCTAGGGCCCACTCTTCTGCTGGCGCTGGGTCTTTTCCTCAGGCTGGTTTCCTGCTCTCGGGTAGCTGTACAGCCTCTTCTTACTTGCTGTTTCTATGTCTGTGTCACTTGGGAGGGAAGATAGGACCACCTGAATGTGGTTGAACGCGTCCAGCTATTGAGAGGGAGTCAGCCCTTCTGTCCAAGCCCTGGTCTGGACTTGGGGTCAGGAATAGTAAAAAGCTCACACTGCCAAAGCCAAAGAAAACACGTCCATAGGGTGTGTCTTCAATCCCAAGACAGGACTCCAGTGTCTGAGGCCTGGGGGCTTCTAGGGTTATACCCCTCAGACCAGACACAGCTGGACCTCTGCTGCCTGAGCATGACCCACTATTCAGCACGTGCCTCAAGCTACTCCAGCATCTGCATCTGGACACGCATTCCTAGAGATGACCAAGCAGTTAGCTGGGACCATGTCCGTCCTGTCGGGGAAGGGGCGCCAGCACAGGCCAGGTCCTCTCTCCACCCTGGGTGCTGGCACACTGTTGTGATAGGCAGCCCTCCCACACCTCTGTGAGGCCTGGGGCAGAGGGTACTATGGTGCAGGGGACAGGGTTTTGCTGCATTTGTGGTTGTGTTTGATGTGCCACCCTATAGTTGTGACCCCTCTTACTGTTTGTGACAGCTGAGCCAAGGGGCCATCCCAGGAGAGTATGTTCAGGCTCCCTCCCTGGGGTATTGTGAGTTGGCAGGACTTAACAAAAGGGCTCCTTGAGGGTCTGGGTGGAGAAGTGGTCTAGAGCACGCTCAGGCAGGGAATGGTCAGCTCATCTTAGAGAGAGAGGCCCAGAGAGGCCCTGAGTTGAGTTAATGGCATATTATAGAAACGACATCACCTGTGCTGAGGGCCAGTCTAGAGGTGGCAGTGTCTTGCTGACACATGTGTCAGGAGTCTCCAGAGTAATAGAACCAACCAGGTGGTGTGGGGTGGGGAAAAAAGAGACAGACACAGATGTTTTAAAGGATCTGCTCCTATGGTCATGGGGTCTGCCAAGTTCAGAATCTACAGGGTGGGTAGATTCTGGGAGGGATCAGTGCTCAAGCTGGGGTCTGAGGCCTCTGGTCTGAGGCAAGGGTTACGGGGAGCTCTTTGCCTTCAGGGGACCTCAGGCTGGTCTCCCCATCCTTCAACTGATTGGATGAGGCCCACTTAATTATGGATGGTAATCTGATTTACTCAAAGTTAACTGATTTAAATGTCAATCTCATCTAAATATAAATAAATATATATATATATATATATATATCTGCACAGAAACATCCAGATGTTTGACCAAAAACCTGGATGCTGTGGTTCTATCAAGTTGATACTAACACACCTGTCATGTCTTAATTGGAAACTTGACCTTGAAAATGATTGAACCCTGTTGCTATGCATGGAGGGCAGATTGTTTGCTTTCTGCTCTTACCTGCACTGGGTGCACCGGCCACACTGGCCTTGACTAGGCTGGTGAGCAGCACCTAGGGGAATTCGTGTTACCCTGCTACAGGATAAGCACAGCCTTCCACCACCCCAGTGCAGAATGACCAGGTGCATTTCACCTGGGTATCAAGGGATCTCTGCGGGGGTTGAGGGTGAGCCATCGGCACCACCCCCCCCCCACTGTGACAGCAAAATCACTTCCTATGTGTCCCAATCAGTCTTAGACTCTGTGCCTATGTCCCACAGTGCTGACGTCAGAGTAGCATGCTAGTTAATAGAAATACCCAACAGCCAGCCAACTAACCTGCTACAATATTTTCTGGTCCTTGGAGTCTATGGCTCTGGGGGTTTGGGGGGTTCCCAGGTGCTCCTCATGAGTTGTGGCTTCATCCCAGAGTGTGAGGTCCTGACTCACTTGTTTCTTTTCAGCGGCAGCGAGCCCTTTGCACATGCTGGCAACCCACGCATCAGCATCAGCCTCCCTGCCCACAAAGCGCCAGAATGGTGACCAGCCAGAGCAGCCAGAGCTGAAGAGGCTGAAAACAGAGGACAGCGAGAGTATTGTCATTGCCCTGAGCATGGACACGCCACCGGCAGCTGCAAGGGAGAAGGGCGTCCAAAACTAGTGTCTGGGAGAGCTTTCTTACTTCAAAAATATCAACTTGTGGTGCCAAAAGGAGACATTGCCTCTCACCGATGCTCAGAGCGTATCCTCTCGGTGGGTAGAGGGCCCTGCGGTTGGACTTCACCTCTCAGCACTGAAAACACAAAACCCAGGTGGCCTTAAAGCTCCTTAATTTAAAGACAGAAAGTCACACTTGAACAAAAACACACACAACAAAACTGGTTCTGAGATGGTGGCTCTGCTACCAGGCACTCACCATGCCGCTGCCTCTGGGTGCAGCTTTTAACTACAAGTAAGAAAACTCCCGGGCCTTCCCCTGGACCAGACTGCATGTGAGGATGGTGGGCGGCGCCTGGTGAGGATGGTGAGCGGGCCTCTGGGACTAGGGCCTCTCCAGAGGCCAGGCAGGACTCGCCAGTGGCACTGGGAGACCAGACAGTATTTTTTGTTGCTCTCATGTGGAATTAGAATATTTGATGTGTACGTTCTTTACACAATAATGGGGTCTTTGACATTTCATATCACTCCATTTCTGCTCTGGAAATTTTGGAATCACACAGGACTTTCGTGTGGATTTCATTTGGGGAAAGAAACAACATAATTTTGTGTTATTGTTGTTTTCAGCCTAGCCCATGGAATGATTTACTTTTGCCTGTCTTGTTAAAGTTCAGATGGAGCTACTCTGTGACAGCTGCAGATGTCCCATGGTAGAGCGGTTGCCTGAAGGATTTCAGCACCTCCGTCTCGGTGGGTGGGACAGACGAGTGGCACCGCAGCCGCATGTGTGGGCCCAGGCGTGAGGCACATGTGAGGGCCCAGGGATGAGCCTGTCATGCAAAAGAGCTACTGGGACTCGTTGAGCTGCACTTAACTGTTCTCTTTCTTGGTATTTTTTATTGTTTGTTTCTTTGTGTTGACTTTGTCCCTGGCAAAATATTTTCACTCTAAGTAAAACCAGTCTCCTAAGTATTGTGTATGTTTAAAGTGACAGAGCCATTATTACTACATTTAGAAAAAAAGATTCAGTCTTTTATCGTGCCCTTTCAAAGAAAGCTGGCAGATTTCTCCATGGCATGTATGAGATTGCAGGTGTCCTTGCCAGCTCTGGTGGCATCTGACCAGCTTTCGGCTCAACTGTGTTGGAGTTTTGCAGTTTTCCCCATGCAGCAAGAGCCCCAGCTACTGGTTCATCCCAGGGTCTAGGTGAGCACCTTGCTGAGAAGTGTTGGGATGCTTGGGCCATTTTCTGATTTGCAGTAGGAAATTTCCTGGCCTTTCAGAACTGAATACTGTAATGCTAAGGCTGACCCTCCTGCAGATATTCAAAGGGAGAGGGAGGAGACAGGTGCAAGTGGGGAGTAGGGGCCCCACAGTCTCAGCCCTGCTCCTTGGGAAGAGAACTCCCAGGGTCAGGACAGAGCAGAAAGCAAACAGAAAGGGCTCTAGCCTTATTGTGAATTTTTAATGTCATCATCATAACATTATTTATTTAAATGTAGTTATTTTGGTATTTAATTTTTTTAAAGAGAGGGAAAAAAACCTGTATTTTCCTGGTGGAATGAAACGGCTCAGAATGGTATATTTAGGCAATTTTAAAACCCTTATTATTTACATAAAGACCAAATATGATAAATCTCTTATAAGTACTGTGTATCGATCCACAATATGGGGCTGTCACATGTCATTGCAGATGATGCATATTAAAAAGTCTGGAGTTACTGCACACTAGCTGGGTTATAATTCAGCCAGTTAGAGAATAAAAGTGAAACCATCATTGGACTGAGACCCTGTGTGTGACAGCAGTGAGCAGCAGCATTTGGAGCTGGTTGGCCCCTCAGGGCTCACTCTGCAACTTTTGAGCATTGAACATATACCTTGGAATGTATATTTTTGTCTTTTACTCAGAAGGTTTGCAATTTGCAAAATAATTTGGATTGTGCTGTTTCTTGTGTGTGGGGTCAGGCCACTCCACAGAGCAGGGCCAGACCAGTCAGTTATACCTAACAGGGGTTTTGCCCGGAGGCCAGCCCTCAAGCTCTCAGTGGACAGACAAGGACACTGGCTTGTGCAGTGCTAAGAGAGTGGATTGCAGCCTTCTGGAGATGCATTTACACAGCAGGAAGCCAGACTCTGGGTAGATTCTCCCTACATAAGCTCGGTCCATAAACTGGTTACTTCTGATGCTAAAACAGAATTTACAGATTTGGAGGGGTTTCTGTTGAGGTCACAGGTAAGAAACTGCCAGCTCCCAAATGTTAAGGAAGGGAAGCTAGCATTCTCTGCCTGGTGCCCAGACCCAAGAGCACCTTGTCAGGTGTGGGCTCTCTACTCTTTGCTCCTGCCTTGGCCGTAGGCTCCTAAGAACATCCAGGAGATGCAGAAACAAAACCATGGATCAGCAAACTGCCGCGCCCAGGTCTTGTCGATCTTTAAGGCACAGTTTTTAAATTCTGGATTTAGCTCTGACTTCCCAAGAGCCCTCTACACACCAAGGGCTACTGAGCTCCCCTGGCGTCACTACCTGGTGCTCGCAGGCCAGCCCAGGTATCCTGCTTGTCATGCCCATCCATGTGTTGCAGGGAACGCCTCGCTCTCCACTGTGGCTCCTCAGTGTCTTATTTTCAAGAAGGCTCCACTTTGACCTTTGCCAAACTTCTGGGCTCCTCAGGGACTAGAAACTGAATTTCAGCAGCTTTGTCCTGAACCAAACAAGAATACAAAAGGGAAACTCACGTGATCCAAATTACGTTGGGTATTCCAAGTGTGCACGATGTGATGTAGGGCTGGTGCTCCCTCACTTTAGGATAGTGTGCTTGTGGACAGTTGGCCTCCTGAGATATCCACCACTCTGTGATTGTCCCCTGCTAGAGTAACAGTAGCTGGTAGTTGTGGTCAGAGGGGGGGGCAGTGTCAGGACTTGGGGTTTCTGTGCTGTGGGACACAAGGGGAGAAGCGACAATCTTTAACCCTAACTTCCACTATTCTAGAAAGTATAGTGGTGATTTGTGTACAAAGATTTGAAATTTTTAAAAAGTACCAAGTTCCTGAAATTCAATAAAATATTTTTATTAATTTTAATTGAATACAGAGTATCATTGTCATTTTGATAAATGTAGAGATTTCTGTTTTGCTTTTTAACTCCCTGCTCTGATCTGAGCACCAGCTTGGGGGCTCTGCCAGGAGACAGGGGGTCCAGTGTCTGCACAAGAAAAAGTCACTGCTTATGAAGCACTGGGGACAAAGTCTGGCCAATTTTACCTGTGATATGGGTTATTTTTTAATAGTGAGACCTCTATATAAAAAATTTTTTAAATGAGCTTGGTATGGAGGCTCACATCTGTAATCTCAAGTACTTGGGAGGCTGAGATGGGAGGATCCACTTGAGCCCAGAAGTTGACTACCAGCCTGGGTAACACAGCAATTTTTCTGAAATTGTGATTGTCAATACCATTTCTTCTGCAGACTTGCTCTTCATCCTAAGGATCAAGATTACTACAAACCCCCTGAGATGTATTTTGTCATGAGATGAAAAAGACCCTTTCAGCAGAGACATACGGGTATCATGTTTCAAAACAGTGACTCTTTGGGAAATCTGTGATACAGATTGTGATGTCCTGATACTTCCTAAGATATTATCAGGATTAACCCCATGTAGGAGGGAAGAAGAAGGTGAAAACAGTAACACATTGGTCCTTTGGGATCTAAACCTAAAATTTAGTGTTCACAGATGGAGAGTTCATAATGGGAGTGTTTGGTCCCTAAGCTTATGTCTTAATTTAAAACCAGTTTATGGGTGCCACCTGTGGCTCAATGGGCAAGGCACTGGCCCCATATACTGAAGGTGGTGGGTTCAAACCTGGACCCGGACAAACTGCAACAAAAAGCCGAGCGTTATGGTGGGTGTCTGTAGTCCTGAGGCAAGAGAATCACCTAAGCCCAGGAGTTGGAGGTTGCTGTGAGCTGTGTGACGCCAGGGCACTCTACCCAGGATGACAAACCAAGACTCTTGTCTCAAAAAAAAAAGTTGGCTTGGCACCTGTGGCTCAAGTGGCTAAGGTGCCAGCCACATGAACCTAAGGTGGCGGGTTTGAATCCAGCCTGGGCCTGCCAAACAACAATGATGACTGCAACCAAAAAATAGCTGGGCATTGTGGTGGGTGTCTGTGGTCCCAGCTACTTGGGAGACTGAGGCAGGAGACTCGCTTGAGCCCAGGAGTTTGAGGTTGCTGTGAGCTGTGATGCAACAGCACTCTACCCAGGGGGACAGCTTGAGGCTCTGTCTCCAAAAAAAAAATAAAAGTTTATCGTACACAGGCAGTCATAGGTTCTGTAGGTTCTTGAGTTTGTATATAAGTTGGAACAGATACATTTACCTGTTACCTGTATTTTTCTTTTATGAGACAGTCTCAAACTGTCACCCTGGGTAGATGCCATGGCATCACAGCTCACAGCAACCTCAAACTCTTGGGCCCAAGCAATTCTCCCACCTTAGCCTCCCAAGTAGCTAGGACTACAGGTGCCCGCCACAATGCCCAGCAATTTTTTGTTGCAGTTGTTTAGCAGGCCCAGGCCTGAGATGGGCTCAAACCCGCCAGCCTCAGGTATATGTGACCAGTGCCCTACCCACTGAGCAACGGGTGCCTCCCAGTAGCCTCTGCTTTAAGTGTGAGTTATAACCACATTGTTGTAACTTGGAAACTGCCTGTATGTATATATACCAAGAGCTTGTCTTTCCTCACAAAAGGAAGCAGCCATTATAATTCTTGTCAGGTCTGTTCGTGTTGTGTTAATAGATGCTTTAAAAGGCACCATATTCTGAGACCCCTCTGTCAGGAAGAGACACTTGTTAACTGGTTAGGTTCACTTCACTAAAGTTAAACTGAGTCAAAGAAGAGGTAACAGCTATCACAAGGATAACCTAGCTCTGTCCCAGTAAAAGAAGTGGCGGGAGGAGGCCTCAAGCACAGGCACAGGCACAGTCTGGTAACAGTAGGAGGGCTTCAGTGTGGCCAAGAAGGTACCACTGTTTTGGTTTTTTTTTTTTCAAAGACAAGAGTCTCACTGTAGCGCCCTCAGTAGAGTGCCGTGGCATCACACAGCTCACAACAACCTCCAACTCCTGAGCTTAGGCAATTCTCTTGCCTCGGCCTCCTGAGTAGCTGGGACTACAGGTGCCTGCCACAACGCCCAGCTACTTTTTTTGTTGCAGTTTGGCCAGAGCCGGGTTTGAACCCACCACCCTTGGTATATGGAGCTGGCACCCTACCCACTGGGCCACAGGCACTGCCCAGTACCACTGGTTATTGTTGGGAGGCCACTCATGGGGGACCACACTTCCTGCAGAAGGAAGAACACCACAGCACATCTAAGCTACATGCAACTCAGGCTGAGACAGGCAGGTGAAGGGAACCACAGCACATAGTGACCTCAGCTTCACCCCCACACACACCAGACCCTACCACATGCTACTGTAGACCTACTGTGTGTTCCTGCCTTTCTATGCCTAAGTCACCAGCAATACAGAATCAGACTTCAAAGTGGGTTCCCAGTGATTGATGAGGTAACTAAATGTCCTTCTGAGGTGGCCTTGAACTCTACTCTGTCCTGCCATGGTCACAGCAATCTCAGTCCAAGGCAAAGTAAATAATATACAGACCACAGGCAGCTAAGCAGTGGGAGATGCTCTCTGTCATAGGGAGATGAAAGCCAGAACCACCTGTGTAGTGATGACTTTCCCTGAATCTTGTTCCTCTCAGACTGCCTGAGCTCGGTGAGCACAGCCTGAGTGTCACAATGGCACCTTGGGGGTGACTGTAAAGGTACCAAGGAGAGAATAGTGGAAAGGGGGCACCTGTGGGCACACTGTGGGGCTGGGAAGCTGCACTCCTACAAGCAACAGGTGGCAGACGCTGAAAGCTTGGAAGTAGAGGGCGCCCTGTCCACTTGGGATAAGGTCAGCAGAGGGGGGCTAAAGCTGAGCTCATGCACCAAGGATAGGAGAGGGAGAAGGGGGTGGGGAGGAGACACCGCAAAGGTGAGAGAAAGGTCCCCAGAGACACAGGGAGCTGAGCTGCAAGAGCAGAACAAAGGCTCTGGGACCCACGCAGATGGGAGGCCTGACAGAAGCCAGAGCTGCAGGAGGCGGTGGCATGCGCAGCAAAACTGTTATTCTCCAGAGGACTTACACAGCTCTCAGAGTCTTGGCATCCAAAAAGTGTCCAGGATAAAGTTCAAAATTAATATCCAAAGAGCCAGAAAAATCTCAACCCCAAAGGGAAAAGACAACTGATGTCAACTCCAGCATGACCACGTGTTGGAAATACCAGGAAAAGGCATTAGAGAAGGAACACTTAACCATGGTCATGAAATAAGGGGAAATGCTCTTAAAATGAACCCAAAGTTGTAGAACTTAAAGGTAACTGAGGGTGGCCCCTGTGGCTCAAAGGAGTAGGGCATTAGCTCCATATGCTGGAGGTGGTGGGTTCAAAACCTAGCCCCAGCCAAAAAAATAAATAACTGAAATGAAAAATTTATTGGACAGAAAAACATTGGTAATAAAAATGAACCAACCCTCAGTGATAACAGCATCAAAGGGGCCAACGTACATGTTCAGTTCCCCAGAAAGGGAGAAAGCTATTTCTGGGAAATAATAAATATAATATTTTAACTATTTTAATATTTCAAAGACAGACTCAAGGATTCACAAAGCTCATTGAACTCCAAATAAGAAACAAAACCGTGGCTCA